CCCCAAAACCCCAAAACCCCAAAACCCCAAAACCCCTTCCTTTTTCGATTGGTTGAACAACTTATTAACTTAAGTGCTAGCTAATTCGTCAACTTTTGTACTTAGAATCTGTCGAACAGGTCGTATTCTTTGGAGGTGACGTTGTCTCTGTTTAGGTAGGTGAGCCTGCCAGCATTTGAATAGCCTCTGGTGTTCCTACTAGTTAGGCTACCCTTGGAGTGGAAATCATCGGCGAAGGTACTCTTCCTTGATTTGGGGGTTCTGAGATTACTTTTGAAAACTGTGCTTCTACGTTTGTAGTGCTTGGCAGCGTCAAAATTTGGCTTGGTGTAGGTATTACGCTCTTCGTAGTATCTTCCAGTAGAGGTCAGAGGTCTGTCGTAGTCTATCTTTGAAGCATAGTCTCTCATAGCTGCTGTCTTTCCAAATCCTGATTTTCTTACATATCTTGAATTGTAGTAGTCAGGTTCTTCGAAATAATCATCTTTAGTCACTGTATAAGTTTTCTTTACTCTATCATTTAATTCAAAAGGATCCTTCTTAACATAGTCAGCATACATATCATTTCCATCATTGATATACTTTGACTTTTGTGCAGTAAATCCTCCTCTCGAAGTAAATCTGCTAGGAACAAGAGTTTGTTTGAGATCATCTTCGTATCCCTTATCAACTTCTTTCTGGACAACAGTGCCTGCTCTTCCATATCTTCTATCTACTGACTTGGTGACCTGGGATATTTTTCTTGATCTACAAATAAGAAATAGGCTTACCCTCTGCCATATCCTAAATTATTGCGGTAGTGGCCAGGTGTTTTATACTCATCGCTTACTGTGAAAGTCTGTTCGACTGAGCGGTCCTCTTCAAAATTTCTTGGATCCTTGCAGCTGTGAGTATTTCTCCCTCCGTATTTTGAGTAACGGTAGTCATACATCGGCTTATCAAGAGGGTCTTTAGTGAGAATATCCATAGTTCCTCTGCTTAATTCATTGGTAATATAAGATCTGTCATCGAATGTAGCTATGTCATGATTTCCAGGAGTTTCCTCAAGATAATAGTTACTCCTTGGTTTGTGAACAGGCTTAATCGAATTGTCAGCCTCTTCATATTTAACTCTTCTTCTAGAATTCTTTCTATTCATTTTCCTGACATCATATTCTGAGAAGGCTGGATCGTGGAGTTCGTCAAATTTATATTCAATCTCTCCTTCTATAGAATAGCCAAATGTCAGACTTACCGTAAGGTCTTCTATCAAGCTCGATATCTTTGCCCAAAAATGAGGCATAAGTGAGGACGACACAATATTCATCATCATAGTTTTGTCCAACCTTTGCTCCAAAATACTTGAAGTCATGGCTGAAGATGATATCCTTATTGGTATCATCTTCATCTGAGATGAGAATGTTGATCAAAATATCTCTTCCATTTACTCCTCGGCGAGTGTAATGAACAATCTCGTTTAGCTGGCCTTCCCAATCACAAAAGTACTCAACTCTTTCAGCAAGTCTCTCCTCTGGGTTCTCTAGCATGAAGTATTCCTTTGCTGCCTTCTCAAGGTTTCTTGAATGCTTCAATGAGTGGGTCGAGTCAACATTCCTCAAGTACATAATTGTATCATAGACCTATACATTTGGTTTTAGAGAGCAAATCTTTTATAAAGTTTTGCAGAATAAATAAAATTATGAAGGTCGAGTATTAAAAATAAAAATACAAAGTCTAATTTAAAAGAACTTACTGCATCATCAAGATTCTTTCCATCAAGTGCCTCAAGAGCAATTTTTGTTTTGAACGAGTAAGGATCCCTGTTATCTACCAAATCCTGCAAATCACCAATAAAACTAGTAGGATTGAGCCTGAGTCTATTCTGCTCTCTCACTATACCACTCACATCACCTCTATCCCCACTCCAAACTCTCCTTACCAAAGTCATCTTCCACCTCTCTTGGCCTGAGTGTCATCTTTAAATTTTATTTTTGCAAAATTAGATTTGGGTTAGGGGTTTTGGGGTTTTGGGGTTTTGGGGTTTTGGGGTTTTGGGG